CAATTAAATGTTTTCCTTTATAAAAGTTGCCATGGTCATGGTGTTTCCATACAGCAATAGAAATCCTGAGGCAAAAGTATAGAGATGTAACAATTTCAACCTGAAAATTTAATTGTATTGTTTTTTTCTTATCGTACAGAATGTATAGTGCTCTTCATGAATAATAGTTAACCACTAATATTTGAAACATCACAAAACCCTTAGAAATGAGGTAAAAGAGGATTACTTATGAGAAACAATGAACTTATTAAGACTATGAACTGAAAAGTACTCAAAGAAAAATATGGAGGACTGGAAATGTAGTTTAGTGCCAGAAGGCTTGACAACATCTAGTGGCATCAAGTTGGATAGCTTTCACATTAACAAGCTAACAGAATAAAAGCTAAGGAAATCAGTTTACTATAATCAAAATTTGTTTGATGTAAGACTCATAGTCATGACAAAGCAAAAAATCTATAGCAAACAATTTAAAATCAATAAACAGGGAATAAAAGAATACTATTAGAGTTATTTATAAAGCTGCCAAGGAAGATTATAAGAGATGGAAAGAGAAAGAGAGAGACAGAGAGAGAGACTAAGACAGAGAGAGACAGAGGAAGATAGAGGAAGGAAGGAAGGAAGGAAGGAAGGAAGGAAGGAAGGAAGAAAGGAAGGAAGGAAAAAAGCAACAAAACTAGAAAATAAGTTGCATAATGGCTATTGTAAGATGTGATGGCTATTCCTGGTTGTTAGCTTGACTACATCTGGAATTAACTAAAACTCAAAAATGGAGTGCACACCTGTGAGGAATTTCTGCTTCATTTGAAGTGGAAAGATCTACTTCAAATACCTAATATGGATCTTTGGGAAAGTAAGACACACCTTTAATCCAGATCTTTAATCCAGAAATAATTTGGGCCTCACCCTTTGTTGGAAGTCTATTTAAGGACATGGGTGAAGGAACTTTTGCTTTTTTCCTGCTTGCTCTCTCTTTGCCTATTTGCTCTTCCTCATGCTAACAAGTCAATACCATCACTGGCATTAGAGCCCACATTTTTAGGATTCCAGTATATACTGAAGACCAGCTAAGACATCTGGCCTCACAGACTGAGCAGCTATCAGATTCTTAGATACTCTGTTCACAGTCAGCCATAATTGGATTAACTGGACCACAGCCTGTAAGTCATTAAAATAAATCCCATGTATATGCATATAAGCACACATATATACATATATATATAAAGAGAGAGAGAGAGAGAGAGAGAGAGAGAGAGAGAGAGAGAGAGAGAGAGAGAGAGATTTATTCTCTAAATTCTGTTACTCTAGAGAACCCTGACTAATGCATAGGACCTTCCATAACAATAATTGCCATTAATGTAAATGGATTGAGTCCTCTAATTAAAAGGCTTAAAATGAATAAAAACACAAACCCTAACTATGTTATTTATAAGACATTTAAATCACCTCTGTTATTTGTACTTGAAATACAAAATGAAATCTAAATAGAAGTAGCCACATTAATAACAGATAAAACAGACTTTAAATAAAATAAATTAAATTAAAACATGAAAACAGATAATGAAGGTAGTTATGTGAAAATAAAGAAGAAAATCCAGAGGGTAACAATAATTTAAAACATATATACATCCAATAACAGAGCACTAGAAGTATACAGTATGAGTAGACTTAATAGAGACAACAAAAACTGAAGACATTCTTTCATTAACACCTCATGTTCAGTAGAGATTTGATGATAATTGACGAATAAATATTAGTTAAATCGTACTCTAGATCAAATGGACCTAACAACTACAAAATATTCCCTACAACAGCATATAAGTATACTTTTTTGCCCCCAAAAGCACAGATAATATTCTCTCAGACATCATAGTATATGGAACAAGTCTCAACAGATATTTTTAAAACTTGAAATTATATTGGGTATCTTTCCTAACCATGGCACAATATATTTAGATAGCAGTCACAAACAAAACTTTAGAAACTATACAAATACATGGAAATTAAGTGACTTATTCTTGAATAAGCGATGGGTCAAGAAAAAACAAAAAGAAAATCTTTTTATAATTAAGAAATTTTTTATTCATTTTACATACCAATCACAGATCCCCTTATCTTCCCTCCTTCTGCCCCTCCCCAACTTTTCCTTTCTCAACCTACCCTCTGTTCCCTCCTCCAAAAAGGTAAGACCTCCTATGGGGAGTCAGAAGAGCCTGGTACATTCAGTTGAGGCAAGTCCAAGTCCCTCCCCCTGCATCAAGGCTGTGCAAGGTGTCCCACTATAGGTAATGGATCCCAAAAAGCAAGCTCATGCACCAGGGATGGATCCATCAAAGGAGGGCTAGTTATTTTCTTCAGTGGGGTAGCCATTGGTAAGTTGGAGGTGTTCAGCAAACAGCCCCTACTTACGGTCACATAAATAACCCTTATCAATATCAATGAGAAACAGGCACATGCAAAGACATGAATATCAGAGGGGACTACTTGAGAAGAAGGAGGTCAATATGAGTAGAAAGAGCAAAGAGCATGAGGGTCTTATCATCAAAATACATGACATTCATATACCTTAATATGTACAAAGCAAAAAGACAAACCTAGACACATGCTTATTACCACGATTAAATCATGAAATGGAAACCTAAAATGAACAGCAAGCAATGAGACCTCCCATCAAAGAAAGGCCTCAGACCAGACTCAGCAGAATTCACTGCTGAATCCTAACAGAAGAACTAATACCAATTCTCTTTATGTTGTTTTAAGAAAGTAAAACAAATTAACTCAAGCAGATTTTGTAGGGCAATCATTATCCTTATGCCAAAACCAGACAAAGATGCAAGTAACAATAACAAACAAACAAACAAAAAGGAAGAAAGCGAAAGAACTATAGGTCAGTATTATTGATGCAAAGAAACATAGAAAATAAAATACTAGCCAGCCAAATTAGAATGTTAGCATATTAGAATGATCTTCTTGGACTCACGGATGGTCCAATATATGCAAATCAATGAACATGATGATAAGGATGTCGTCAGCATAATGGACAATAATCATATGGTCATCTCCACTGATGTAAAATGTGCATTGTCCCCTCACAAGAAAAATTAAATAAGCAAAGCACAAATGAACATATCTCAAGATAATTTATTATAAGCCAATAACAGCACAGTATATAATGAGAAAAACATGAAGGAAGGCTTTATCTCTAGGAATCAAGAGTCAGGAATAGACAAGAATGCTTATTTCCACAACTTCTATGAGGCATAGTTCTGGGAGTCATAGCCAGATAATTTAGGTAAGAGAAATATATAAATGCATCTAAAAAAAGGAGGCCAACTTTCACTTTGTGAACATTCTGATTTTATGTGCAGGAAACTCACAAAATTTTACCAAGAAAAAAATCTATAATGAACATATTATTTCATTAAATAAACAAACTCATCAATGTTTCAAAATGCAAAAATCAACTTACAAAGTAAGGAATATTGCTTTTTGCTGATAAAGTTCTAAAAATAGAAAACAAGAAATAAATCCAATTTCATGGCTATTATTTTAGCTATCCATTTAAAACTAAAATGATTTTAATTCCAAGAATAAACTGACTAAAGAGTTGAAATATCTCCACAACAAAAACGGTAAAATACTAAAGAATGAAACTGAAAACTGAACAAAAGCTGGCACCCTATTTAATGTTTGTTGACTGGAAGAATCATCCATAATAAACAAGTCAATTGAGAGATGTACTTCAATTTCTCTCTATATAAATAAACAATCATATTCTTCACAAAATTAGGAAAAGATATCTAAAATACATACATGATGAGTCCAAGGTAAAACTGAATATCCAAGAACATTTTGAGCAAAAAGAATAGTGTTGGAGACATTATACAACCTCTTTTCAAATTCCACTACAAAATTGTCATAATCAAAACATCAAGTCATTGGCATAAAAGACAACATCTACATCAGTGGAACACAGTGTACAGCCTAGAAGTAAATATACACATCTCTACACAACTGATTTTTGACAATGATGTTAATAACATGAAGGGTGCTGAGAAATCTGTATATCCACATTCAATGAAAGAGATTAGACCTCTCTCTCACACCATTACAAAGATCGACTCAAAATGGATTAATGACTTAAATTTTAGCCTTATACTATGAAATTATAGAAGAAAATACAAGGGGAAATATTTAGATATTGGAGGGGACAAGAGCTTTTCCAACAAGATCTCACAACATGAGAAACAAAAGCAAACATAAACAAATGGATTCACCTCAAACTGAAAATCTTTCATACAGCATAGGATATGGCAGGCAGAGGATAAAACCACCATTGAGAATGGGAGAAAACATTTGAAAAGCATTTGTCTGGCAAGAGGTTGATATCCAGAACACATAAAGTAGTCAAGAACTCATTAACCGAAATGCAAATAACCAAACTAAACAATGAGCATCAGACTTAAACAAGCATTTCCCCAAAGAAGATAGGGAGAGGCAGCCATACCCCCAAAATATCTGACATCACTAATCACCAGAGAACTGCAAATCAAGACCACAGTGTTTACCACCTCACTCCAATAACAATGGCTAAAAGCAAAAGATTAGTAGAGTAAAGATAACAAGTGCTGGATAACAAGAATGTGCAGAAAGAGGACTCTTTGTATACCCTGTTTGTATTTCATGAGAATGTAAGGTAAAGCCATTGTGGAAAGTAACATGGAGATCCATAAAATGTTCAAACTAGAACAGCCCATTTGCTCGAGCAATTCTGCTAGTGCATGTATTATCCCTCCAAAAATGAATCAGTGTGTCAAAGACATTTGCACTTCTGTGTTTGCTTACAGTACTATTCACAACATTCAAGAAATAAGAACAACCTCAGTGTCCATCAGGTAGAAACTGAGTAATACAGAGTGGAATACTCCTCAATCACAACTCACTTTTTTTTTTTTTTTTTTTTTTTTTTGGTTTTTCGAGACAGGGTTTCTCTGTGTAGCTTTGCGCCTTTTCCTGGAACTCACGTGGTAGCCCAGGCTGGCCTCGAACTCACAGAGATCCGCCTGGCTCTGCCTCCCGAGTGCTGGGATTAAAGGCGTGCGCCACCACCGCCCGGCACAACTCACTTTTAACAGTGTGGATGGACCTGGAAATCATTGTATTTAGTTAATAAAAATCAGATAGACAAGGCAGCTGTAAATGATCTCACTCCTATGTGGAATCTGAACTTAAGGTTATAGAAGTTGAGAGAAGGCTGTTTACTGGAAGCCAGAGACCAAGGCAGGGGCAGTGTTGTGGCTCAGATGTAAATAGTTTAATATGTTACCATGCTTGAGCAGTTGGTTGCTAGTTGGTGGTCTGTTTTGAAAGGTTGTAAGACCCTTATGGGGTGGCACCTAGCTAGAGGAATTGGATCACTAGGAGGTGACCCTTGAGGTTTTCGTTTCAGGCTCTGTGTCTGTTTATACTCTCCCTAACCCTGTAACTTCCATGCCACTATTGCATCCATGGTCATATCTTGCTATCCTAATTATTATTGCAGCTCATAAGGTTCACTGCTGGGTAACACTGCTGATGAACCTCCACTCCTCAGCAATCTGCATAGCACCTTCCAATATTATGAGAGCTAGCCAGTAGGGAGAAAGCTTCCAGATTAGTACCAACTTGATTTCTCCATGTCCTGTGAACAATGTATGTGGTATCTTCAGCAACAGGGTCTAACCATCATGTTCTACTTGGCAACCAAAAGCAATGGCTATAACCTACATTGTTTGGGAGAACCTTCAAGTGTGTCTCCACTGTGAACAGAGTTCGAAGATAAAGCATCCAAAATTGAAAAATATAATGTCCCCTCTCCTAAGTGTTTAAGGACAACTTCATTCAATTGTCTATTAATATGCCACAAAATATCCAAAAATGAACAATGCCTTTAAAATTGTTTTAAAAACAGAGCAGAGCATTTATAATGTTTTTTAAAAAAACTGACTCATAGTTTTGAGCACTGTTACTTTAATACTTGTTTACTTGGGCCATAAATCTGGACACATCATTTCCATTTGGCTATTAAGCTTAGAATTTTTTTTTCTTAGACATCTGGAAATGTAGATATCTCACTTCAGTGTGAAAAATATCTTAGTTTTTTTAACTTATTTTGTTATTTATTGTAATTGATATTTTATAAATTTATTACAATTATATAACAATGTGTTATAATATGACAAAAGGTTATCTCTAAGTATAATATAAAGTTTTCATCTTTACTATGCTACTAAATAAATGTTTTCCTTAATTATTTTCAAACTTTACAAACCTGTCATAGTGGTCTGAGAAGGCAACCTTCATTTCTTTCTTCAGTCTGTCCTGTTGGAAATAACTTTGTTTAGAAGACTGGCTTCAAGCCTTGGCTTAGAGTGATTTCATGGAGTCGCTTAGTGTTTCCGGCCCTTTTCCCTAGTAAGAAAGCAGTGATGTTAATAAGTAACCACCATGTCAGACCATTGGCACTGACATCAAACAAGGTAAAAAGCACCATCAGTGGCACATAGCACGTGTGATTTAGTCTTTGTTACCCATTCAGTTCTATCCCTTTGGCACTGTATGTACCAAGCCCTGTGGCTGGCAGTCTTGGCATCCTTTCGAGTTGTTCTTCTTCTCTTTTGCACTCCACTAGTTTGGTGAATACAAAACGAGCTTTGATCCTTTCTAGTATTTTCTCCTTCTCAACACTAAAATATCAGTTTTCATGAAGACTGTATTACTTGTGCCATCTTGTTCTAATAAGATGTAAAGTCAACATTTCCTACTTCCGTCCTCACAGGATTTGTGGTCCATGCCAGCCTATTTGTTTCGCTTAACCTTACAGATACTTACTCCATCTTTCTTTGCAGTGTGTTAGTAGGATTGATGGTGACCCTCAGGTGGAGAGCTGGCCTAGAAGTCTCTGGTTGTGCAGATTTCTCAGGTAACAGTCTTTTCAACCAAGAGTTTTTATGTTAAAGCAAATAGTCTAACCAGAAAAAAAATCATTCCTAGCCACATTTTACGGAGGTGAGTTTCTTGTTTCTTTTATTTTTTGTTTTTAAGCTTCTTGGGTGTCTTTTTTCCTCCATCTTAAATATGAAAACATATGCCTTTCAGGTTCCATGTTTAAGTAGTGGAATATAAATCATGAAACTGCTTGCGAAAACTGGGCCTATTTGTTTCTTACTTGCTATTCTGTAGTGAGTGTTTGGATCCCAGGGTATTAGCATTCTACTTCCGATTTGTTCTTCATCCATTATTGTTGGTTTCCACTTCTCCCCTTAAGAAGGCACATGATGGGGCTGAGGAGATGGCTCAGTGTGCCAAATGTTTGCTGTGATGAGGATGTGAGTTTCCATGCCAGAAACCATGTAGAGCTGAGTACAATAGTGCTTGTCTGTATTCCAGTGTTCCTAGAGGATACAGAAGGCAGAATTAGAAAATCCCCCTCAAGCACATGAGCCACCTAGCCTAGATAATGGAGGCTAATAGCAAAAGAGAAAGAAAGAAGGAAAGAAGGAAGGAAGGAAGGAAGGAAGGAAGGAAGGAAGGAAGGAAAGAAGGAAGGTAGATGGAAGGGAGGGAGTTTGGGAGGGGCACAAAGAGATCCTACCTCACACAAAATGAGGACCAACATCTAATATTGTCCTCTGACCTAAAATGTTCACTGTGTCATTTGTGTGCCCACATACATGTACACACATCATGCATACACACATATTTATATCACACATACACATCACACACTCACATACACACATATACACATCATACATCATACATATATACAGATCTCTCTCTCTCTCTCTCTCTCTCTCTCTCTCTCTCTCTCTCTCTCTCTCTCACACACACACACACACACACACACACACACACACACACACACACTAAAAAGAAGGACCATGCCAATGGGAACTCTCATTAAAATCTGCCAATTCCTGTTATAGTTGGCTAACTAACATAGAGATCAAATGCTGCCCATTGCCCATTGTATGTAGAATTTACCTTGGATCTCCACCAATCTTTTCATTTACTGATAGTGTATAAGTGTTTTTGTGCAGGATTGGCAGTGTTGAGTAGGTATGACTGAGATTGTAGAGAAGGAAAAAGCTGAAATATTTACTACCTGGGACTTTAAAAAATTTTTTGACTCCCCAATCTACACAATATGATTGAAGATTGTTTTTTATCACAAGTGCCCAGTGATCTGGAAGACCTGTGACTACATGGCAGTGCTCTCCTAGAAACAACTACCTCTGTGAAATTCTGGGGTGTAGTAGTAATAACAGGCCTAGGGATGTGACCAAGTCACTCAGTCCCTTTGTCCTATTCCACTTACGCACAATCAGTAAACATACCTTTTTTTTTTTTTCCATAAAAAAGCTTTATGTTAAACTGTAAATGTGTCTAAACTGGGATATCTCAGTAAAGTGCTTACTAGGCAAAGATGAAGCCTGAGTTTTGATTCCTAGCCAGCAAGCTAGGCAGAGGATGAGGATGAGGAGGTGTATTCTATACCTGTAATCTCATTACCCGGGATGCATAGCCACGCTAGTGCCTGTGGCTCACTGGCCAGCCAGCCTAGTTGAATTAGAGAGCCCCATGTTCAGGGAAGAACTCTGTATCAAAAAATAAAGTAGGGAATGATCCAAAAGAGCACTATATTATTGACCTGTGGACCACACACACACACACACACACACACACACACACACACACACACAAATGCTTTTGTATATAAGTAGCACACACACATACACACACACACACACACACACACACACACACACATCCTGTTGTTAAGTATTTGAGATGTTAGAGGCAGATCTTTCAGTGTTTGGCATCAGATCAACCCAAGAGGAAGGTGCACTTTAGGTATGTTCATGTCCTTATGTTTAGACAGTCTTCAGACAGCCACTCAATATCTACCTTTCTGATGGTGTTCCAGCTAAATTTCAAACATTGTTTTTACTTTCTTATGTCCATATCATCCTCTGTTATCTTAAAACACTTCTATTTCCTGTTGCCTTTATTATATCTGTTTTCATACCAGGTTGTCTCGTCTGCCTGTGAAGCAGCTTCCGTCTAACAAGGTTATAGCACTTGCCTCTGCAAGTCTGATTTCTTCCCTAACCCTATTATTGTTTTCATCTCAAAGTAAAGCAGATAAACAATAAGTTAAATAAATAAGTTATCACCCAAAGCTCTGAATTTCATGGTTTTCCCTGCTCTAAAATAAATGAGCTTGAGAAATACCGAAATTGTGGGTTTGTGCCCTAAATGAAATAAGGTTTTGCAACATTTGCGTTCATCCCGCATAACAGACTCCTGTGCTGTATTTGGGTACACATTTTAATGCCCAGATCCAACCAAGTGTAGCTATTGTCCTAGTTGATTAATGAAATCTTAACAAAATCAGGGACTTTATCAAGTCCCTAAATATAAAATCTATTAGTTAGGAAAGAATGAGCTATTTGTTTTTGTTTTCTCCTAGCATAAAGATGAATGAGCCAGAGCAGAATGAACACCCTTATCCTACATGCTGGATGAACACTGCAGTCCCATTCCTGCAGAATCCTGCACCTCAGGGGAGGCACCTGAGCCATTTCTAATCTCTTTGATGAATGCCGCTACAGTTCAAGTTTCAGAATCAATTGGGGAAAAATTTGAAGTGGGCCCTCTCGAGAAGAAGTGGCAGGTCTGTTCTGGACAGGCATGCAGTAAATCAGAGTTTTCACATTTCATTGCCTGGAACTGACTCAAACTGTCAGAATGTGGCCAGGTTTAAATCATGCAGTTAAGGAGGAGGGTGGACAGCCTGAGCCTCAGTATCTGATAATGGAAAGTTACGAAAAGATTAGACTCTTTGGGAAATAATCAGCCTAGAAAACTCAGTATTAGGAAGCTTATGATGCCAGGTAAACAGCTTATGATATTAAAATTGAGTCAAATAGTCTTAACTTATATAAATAGTAATAATAGAATGAATCTCATTTAATTTATAATTAGGTTAAAAAAATAGATGCTTGACGTGTAGTTACCAAGGATTAAATTTAAACAGTAGTAAATAGCCTTCATAAATATAAAATCACTTGAATGTCAATTGTTCCTGATTTTTGTTTGATAAATAATAAATTAACTTTCCATCCTGTAGTGGTATTGTGTTCCTCAAAATATTGTGCACCCTAATAAACTTATCTGGGGTCAGAGAACAGAACAGCCACTAGATACAGAGGCCAGAAAATGGTGGCACACATGCCTTTAATCCTAGCATTCCAGAGGCAGAAATCCCTCTGGATCTCTGTGAGTTCAAGGCCACATTGAAAACAGCCAGGCAAGGCATGGTGACACACGCCTTTAATCCCAGGGAGTGAGCCTTTAATCCCAGGGAGTGATGGCAGAAAAATATATAAGGCGTGAAGACCAGAAACTAGAAGCTTTTAGCTGGTTAAACTTTTAGGCTTTGAGCAACACAGTTCAGCTGAGATTCATTCTGGATGAGGACTCAGAGGCTTCCAGTCTGAGGAAATAAGACCAGCTGAGGAACTGGCGAGGTGAGGTAGCTGTGGCTTGTTTTGCTTCTCTGATCTTCTAGCATTCACCCCAATACCTGGCTCCCAGGTTTGATTTTATTAATAAAACCATTTAAGATTCCTGCTACACCATCCAATCAATATTTACTGTGCAAACTACAGGAGGATATGTACATTTATGTTTTTTCTCAGAAATGGGTTTATGAATTCACCCAGGATCAAGAACATATTACATTGCTGTACTTCACTTACATAGTGATGACATTTTTTTTCAACAAAAGTGACACATTTAGAGCAATGATGGGCCTTAGTACTCTTTTACTTCATGTTCTTTACTTCCAAGATGGTGGAGCTGAGGGTAAATAATGTTTAATGGCCAACTGGGTAGGCAGCATGTTAGCATCTAAGCAGCTCATGAATTAAATCCATAGAGGTATGAAATACCTATTCAACTTTATCAATTTCTTAGTACCTCAGTTTCTTCCTCTATATGTATAAAGACAAGAATTTGAAATGTGATTGATTATATATTTTATCCCTCTGGGAGAACTTCTGTCTTTATTATAGCCCCAAGATAGTCGATTCCAAATTAAGCCTTGAAATCTCTACTCCAGACTGGAAATCTGTTTATCAGGTTAGAACCCAGGATCAAAGTAATATATCCCTAGGTTTTTACTCCAGGTCTAAATATCAAACCAGAAAGATGTGAACGTAGCTGTAGGTGGTACTTCTGTGCTTAACTTTCTCTTCAGATGAAGACCATTTGAGCTGAAGAAGAAAAGAACTGAAAAGCTGATTATGTGACTGGGAAGTATCTCCACATCCCTGCCATAGCTTGTCTTTAGAAAGAGTAGTAAATGAAAACAAAAAGAGTTTTAGATATGTTTAAAGGATCAGATATTTCTGTTCTGTCTGAACTGGTAGCAAATGAAGTACCTCTTTTCCCTCTAGCTATATTGGTGATAGCACTGAGGTGGAGCTGGGTGTGGGGGCCATATGAACATTCATCAATTACCTCACATCTCCCACAGGGCTTGAGGGAACTAAGCAATGAGTCCACAATTCCAATGCACTTGAGAAAAGATTAAGAGGCTACCAAGGGGCTATCCATGTGTCAGTAAGATCAAAGGAACCTAGAGTGAGGAATTAGACCCACCTTACCTATCAACTTACATGATGTTCCAGGTCAGGTAGGGCATAAGGACACCTCCGTAGACATAATAAGATGAGATGCTGACGTTAAAAATAATTAAAACTCTATTGTTATTATACCTTTGAGAGGTCCAGTGGTGACAAAATTAGTCATACATTGATTGTCAATGCTTAGTAGTATCTCTTAGTCATTCTCATGTTTTGGATTAACATTAGATGATGTGGTTTGCAATGTGTAGAGCAAATGTAAGTGCTTGGAAATTTACTAAGTCTGGTTACACTTATCTGAACTTGACTAGTTTATGATTATTTTCGTCCGATTTATTAGAAGCTTTAAATCACAAATTAAGCTGGTAAATGTTAGGTCCATAAAACAATCACCCAAAATGGTAGCGCTGGTTACAATGAGCTAAATAGAAGGACTTTGTAAACAGAACAGGCAAACAGAAGGATTGTTATTGGATAAACAGAGGCCTAGAGCCTGGTTTCTGTTAACCAGGAACCTCCCTTAATCTACCAGTAACCTCCCTTATTCTACCTCAAAGGTTAACTACCTGAGGTAACAGCATCTAGCTCCCATTCAACCCAAACACCCCATGTCAGCTCAAAGACCCCCTACTGGCTGCAGTAATAAATTCTGCTTGCTTTTCTCCATTTTGCTCTTCTCTCTGCTCCCCTTCCATCCATATTCTTGGCAGATTGATCCCCAATAAACCTTTTTTCTACCC